GCAAATGCATACAGACATTCAAAACACAAAACACATTCAAAGGATACAAAATAAGCTATAGATGAAACTCAAAACCTCAAAAACCAGACCCTCACATGCATTTATTTCCACACGTGTGCATACATGCTTTGAGCATGAATGCAGGCAATAGAAACATATATGCACAAGCTAAGAGAATCATATCTGGAGTCAAATTCACTCATCCACCCACACAGACACACTATAGACAATTCCACACCACCTCCAACATGCTCTCAGGAGTGATCACACTCACACATATCTAGGGATGGGAATTGTGATTTCACTGAACAATTTGGATTTCTTAGAAGTTCCATTATTGATTGAGCATTTTGTTTTTAATTTATTTTAACCAAACAGTACTTTGTTTTAAAGGGATAGTTCACCCAAAAATGAAAATTCTGTCATTAATTAGTCACCCTCATGTCGTTCCAAACCCATAGACCTTTGTTCATCTTCAGAACACAAATTAAGATATTTATGATGAAATACAAGAGCTTTCTGACCCTGCATAAACAGCAACTGACATGTTCAAGGCCCAGAAAGGTAGTAAGGACATCGTTAAAATAGTCCATGTGACATCAGTGGTTCAACCTTAATTTTATGATGCTACGGGAATATTTTTTGTGTGCATAGAAAACAAATATAATGATTTTATTCAATGATTATTGCTTTCCCGGGTTAGTCTGCTGCCATTCATGAGAGTACCATGTCTCTATGCAGGGTCAGAAAGCTCTCAGATTTCATAAAAAATATCTTAATTTGTGTTCCGAAGATGAACAAAGGTCTTACGGGTTTGGAACGACATGAGGCTGCGTAATTAATGACAGAATTTTCATTTTTGGGTGAACTAACCATTTAACGTTAGCAATTTATCGGTTAATTGCCATATAGGGTTAAAGACTACAACTAAAGTGGTCGCAAATGTGCAACAATAATTAAGAGCCAAGATGTAACTGATTTACTAACAGAGCTTTTCTTCTGTATTTTGACGTATACATCTGAGAGAAACAGATTACCGAAAAAGAAATGTCACCAGAGAGAACTGTCGTTTCACTGAAAGATTGAGTTATAGCATTTTGATGAAAAATTACAGTGCAAAAAACATTTAAAAATGACATGGATATATTTATATTCATATACTGTAATTTACAGTGGGGCAAAAAAGTATTTAGTCAGCCACCAATTGTGCAAGTTCTCCCACTTAAAAATATGAGAGAGGCCTGTAATTTTCATCATAGGTATACCTCAACTATGAGAGACAAAATGAGAAAAAAAAATCCAGAAAATCACATTGTAGGATTTTTAAAGAATTAATTGGTAAATTCCTCGGTAAAATAAGTATTTGGTCACCTACAAACAAGCAAGATTTCTGGCTCTCACAGACCTGTAACAACTTCTTTAAGAGGCTCCTCTGTCCTCCACACGTTACCTGTATTAATGGTATCTGTTTGAACTTGTTATCAGTATAAAAGACACCTGTCCAAAACCTCAAACAGTCACACTCCAAACTCCACCATGGCCAAGACCAAAATTGTAGACCTCCACCAGGCTGGGAAGACTGAATCTGCAATAGGTAAGCAGCTTGGTGTGAAGAAATCAACTGTGGGAGCAATGATGTTTGTATTTATTTATATATACATAATAAATATGCACAGTACACACACATATATTATGTGAACAAAAACTTTTATTTTGGATGCGATTAATCATGATTAATCATTTGACAGCACTAGTATGAATTAATAATCATTCTAAAAAAAAACTTCAAATAAAAACAAACAAACAAGGTAACATTTTCAAGTTGAATTGAGGTTAAAGTAATATTTTGTGTGGCATAAATATTATAATCAACATTAATTATCAGTTTATCTGTATTAGCCAGAATTTTAATACTGATGGATTCCTAATTCCTAAAATTCTGGTTCTCAGTTTCCACTTCTGAACACACAAAAGCTCATACATGGCACACGGTCATTCACCCACCTCCAAAAATACTAACACGCACCCTTTAGAATCAACATACACTCACACAGGTCAGGTCTTTCCATGATAGACAACACTTTCAGTATGACACATTTCATGTAAAACACACACACACATACACACACACACCCACACAGTGCTTGACTTCTGTAACCCTCTCTAGTTGCCCAACACACTGAACAGTATGAGTGTGATCATCTCTCATGCCTCCCTCGTTCTACCTTCTCTTCCGCCCGCGCACCTCTTCTCTCTCTCTTATTCTCTCTCTTACCTCCTCTGTGAATTATAGCTTGCGCTTTATCATCACATCATGGTTTAATTCTGTCCATCCCATGATGCCTTGCACACCATTATGCCTTTCTTCATTTCGCTGCTCTCTTACTTTTCAACTAATAACTTCGATCGATGCTTCCATCTGTCCCTGCTCTCATTTCTCATTCATTGTGCTCCCCTTCCATAATGTCATATTGTTCCCAGTCCAATCTTACAAACCAGAGGAATCATGGGCATCATGCGCATATTGTTTTGGAGGGAGCACCGGCACCAGTCCTGACTCACTTTGTGCCCGCGGTGAGATAAGCCCAAAAGCAAAAAAAAAAACATTTAGCATGCACAAGGAAACATGATGAAATCTCAATCTAATATTCAGATGCAGCCAAAGCATCAAATAATGCAAGACGTTTTTCTAGAAAGTGTTACAATTATACATTTTTGCCATCCACACATGCATTTCTTTGGTTTGCGGTGGACAAAACAAAAAAGCTGTGACATTTTGAAAGTACAAAGACATAATAAAATGGCCTGGACAACATTACTGGAACTTTTAATAAGCTGAGCAGAATTTAATTGGGAATTGAGCATTAGGATTCTTGATTTCGATGCAAGTGACCCTACATTTAAAACCTGTTTATTAGAAATAGTGCTGAATTTGTTTACCATAATAGAGTGTTTCAAGCCAATTTAAAGGGATAGTTCTCCCAAAAATTCTGTCATTAATTATGCACCTTCATGCCGTTCCAAACCTGTAAGGCCTTTGTTCATCTTCATAACACAAATTAAGATAGTTTTGATGAAATCTGAGAGCTTTCTGATCCTGCATAGACAAAGTTTTCTTTGTGCACAAAAAGTATTCTCGTAGCTTCGTAAAATTGCGGTTGAACCACTGATGTCACATGGACTATTTTAACAATGTCCTTTCTACCTTTCTGGGCCTTGAACGTAGTAGTTGCGTTGCTGTCTATGCAGGCCCAGAAATCTCTCAGATTTACTTAAAATATCTTAATTTGTGTTCAGAAGATGAACGAAGGTCTTACAGGTTTGGAACGACATGAGGGTGAGTAATTAATGACAGAATTTTCATTT